AGCTACCATATAAAATGAAAGATTTGACTTATTAAGAAAAAATCTTTTATATCAACGCGCCACTAACTGTAAAAAAAGTCTAGTCTAAAAATAATAGAAACAGTCATCATAAAAATATTAAAAAATCAACTCTTAACGACAACTACGAACACGGCCATAATGTATTGACAGTGTTTGGGAATTAAGAATATGTCTACGCCCTAGAAAATTACACGCCATTTACAATAACAAAACTGAAAATCATTGAAAATGGCTAGTACATTATCTGAAAGCGCTCAGTATAAACAAACATTTCTATTCAAATAAGTCCAAAAAGTTGATAGTTTCGCAGACAGAAGCACAATAAAGACTGAAAAAATATGCTCTATTGGTATTTTTAATCAAGCATGCATTACAGAAGGATTGCTGCTTCCCAATGCACACATCCGCGCACGCGCGAACGCATATATTGTTTAAAATTTTCTATATTTATGGGGAAAACGTTCAATACTGGAGACAGAACGTGTATAAATAGACAGAAGAAGCAATAGGTCTGTCAGTTTCACACCTCAAAAGACCTTCAGACCATGTGTCAATACTACTTTCATGAGTTCTACATATAGGCCATTGGACAATGTGTGCTTTTCTCTCGTTCCAATTTTAGTAAAAAAAAACAGAATTGTTGCAAAGATTAAGTGTAAATTTATTAACAGGTGATAGATATTGGTTATAGTCATATGGTTGGTGACAAATAATTGAAGGCGCAACATTGCCGTGTTCCATTTTTTTCATACAATCGAGACCATTTGATAAACATATTACTGGGAGGATTTGCACTGCAGCTATTACATTAATATTAGTATTTTTAAACTGACAGAAAGCATATACACGTACATATGCAGATACGCACAGACATTTGCGTCCGTGTGCCTGTATGTGGTTGAATAAAGTGAAAAAAATGAATATTTTTAATATTTGTTCAATGATTATTTTTAGATTGATATCATCATCATCGTCCTTTAGCTGGTGTCGGAATGATTCAGCAGAACAATCCCAAATTCATCAACTAAATATGCAATCCTGCGCATAATCTTAACTTGAATGACTTGAAGCAGTTTCTAATTATTGAATATCTTAAAAATAAAATTCTGAACGAAGCTTTAATTCAAGAGTCATTAGAACTTAAGGGTGGGACTCAGTAATCTGTAGAAGAAAGACGAACAAATGAAACTGAGATTTAATTAAGTAAAAGGAGCTGAGAAAAAGATAAATAACAACAGGTATTCATACGCAATTCTTATAACACTGATATTTGAATGTTTCTATTATTTTAAAAAGGCGTTTTGCAGTTTGTTATCGAATCACTTCTGTAATGCTTAATTTTTAAAAAATTAACATTGCTGTCATATTTTGAAAAATATTTAAAATGAACAAGTAACGTATGTGTTTAAGTTTTTGCTTTAATATATCACTGACGCCAACTTTTGTATGTTTTTATTATACATAAACGTGTATGTAATTATGTGTGAGCGGAGGATTATGTGTGAATATCGCTAGAAACATGCTTGTAAGTAATTAATATTTGTTTACTACTGCTATTTGGTTGGCTTCGACGTTTACCAATGATCATGAGAATATTATGAATAAATTCATCATCTCTCCTTTTAGGACCATGCTGTCAAATGTGCGTCAAATAAAAAGAGTCTTTTTAATGTCATCCAGTAAAAATAAGTTGCAAGACTCAGTTTTTGACAAGTCCGTGATATATTTGTTAAAACCAGAATTTAGCTACACAATACATTATCTCATTTATTTCATACAAAAATGAATCACTGAAGAAAACATGAGAAATATTTTCACAAAGAATGTATTTCTTGAAGTTAATGATTAGTTTGTCTCCCATAAACACGGCATATTTTTAAAAATGATAATCAACAATGCAAGGCTGAAAATATTGCTTTTTTCTTACATCGTTTTTTTTTTTAAATTAAAATATATTAATTATTTTCAGTATCTGTCTATATTTCTGAGATAAGGTATGATGTACACTATTTACATTATTGGGACTATACTCATCTTGTCGCCATATTTATTACAACGTTTCGGTTCTTGTACGCTCTGGCTTTCTTCAGGTGGTTAGAATGTTGAACTGATCCCTTTATTTCGCTCACTGGGGTAGACTGTTCTAGTACCACGTGCCATGTTTAATAGGTGTCAGTTACCTCCAGTTAATTCCCCTCTCCAAGTTCTCCACCGCCTTAACCAGCTATTGAACTCACACACTTTGGGTGCTGGCACTGGATCTAACTAACGTCTTTATCCACTGTGCGATGTGTCCTTGAAGACATCTGTGTATGAATTTCTGGGTATTATAAACCTAATGTCTTCAGCAACCTTTTTTACCAGTGCTCATATTGCAATTTTTGTTGTTATTATCGCTTTTCTCTGGCACTCCTTATTACTGGTTCCCATATTGTATTCATTTCTATGCTTGGTCGACTCAGGAGATTTTTGTGGCCTAACATATGTACTGATTTCTTAAGTTTACGAATTTTCCAATGATATTCTTTGTCTATGATCCCACAGAGGGTGGTGATATCACTTTTCTCTCCATATGTGGTCAGCCACGACGATTCCTTCACGATCATTTCAGTGTCACTGCATCTTCGGAAACCAATGTAAAAATGAGCATAATTCGAGTCATTAAGCACAGCAGTATGAATTTCAGGGTTATCCAGTGGTTGAGGATGGGTATCAGATTTTTATTTATTTATTTCTGTAGGACTATTTTCAACACAAGTCTTTCTTCCTTGATAGTTGTAGATTCTTTTCGTATCTGTTCCCAGCTGGAGCTAAATCATGCATAGACACTGTTGACTCAAGTCCGTCGTCTAATTTTACATAAGTATATTGTGGATTAGATTCGAACTGCTGAACTTCGTCAACTAAAGCTACGTACTTGTTGGTATGGACATTATGAAGTTAAAGAATCGGAACATGAGCTGGTAGCCAATATGGTAAAGAGTGACCACTGAGTGGTCGGCACTGAAATGGAAATATTCTTTCATGTGCTGTAGTATTGGTAGTGCAGAGAGTAGAGATCTTATGACATGCAGTACTGCAGGTAGAATAACTTCCCATTGAGATTCTCACAGATTTCTCAAGGCCAAAGACAATGTGTCATGCTTTCAAATAATTCCTTTGTATCATTCACACTGACCATTACCCTGAGGGTTGTTTTGGGGTAGTTCGACTGGTAGCGATACCCAAAGCAGTGAGGCACTCATGCAATACTTTAGATAAAAACGAGGGATTACGGTCAAAGTGAATATAGGAAGCCTTACCAAACAGTAAATATTTGATTCAGACATTTAATTAGTATACTTGGTGTCATATTAGAGTAACAGAAAAAAAAAATAATGAAATCCTTTATTAGTATGAGCATAGAACTGTTCTTTGAGTAAAAGAGGTTGCTTAAAATCTAGACTGAATCACTCCATTGGTTATGTGACCTTGACAAGGAGAACATTTTCTGAATGTAGAAACATGGTTTCCATCTAGCACAAACAAAACAGTCTGCGCATATTGTTCATCCTCTATAAAGTATGGAAGATCCTGACTTTGATAAAGTGGGCTAACTTGGATATCCCCAGATAAAAAAGACGATTGTGCATCTCAGATACATTTTCTTTGTGGAAGATAGCGCCACAGTGAACACGTTCTCCATCTTTAGATTTTATCGTTTTAATTTTAACAGGCTTCTCCGTATGAAACATTGTTCATTGTCTGTTGATCAGTGACGATGGTAAAACGTCAAGCAGAGAAGTGAGACTATAGCTTCTATAATGAGTGAAACTTTCTTTTCTGCTGAAGCGTACTTTCACTAACTTTTTCTTACTTCTCTCTGTATCTTTTCTCTGTCTGTGATCATGTGTTATGTTTCGTGGATGCACTAAACATATTTTCTTTGTAAGGCTATGTAATTACAAGCACATCTCTCTCTCCATATATATATATATATATATATATATATATATATATGTGGGGGGGTATGTAGAAAAATAGGAAAGAACAGGTTAGGTAAATAATCCGGAGTTCTTTAGTATTTTTGTTTTTATTTTCATTTTTAAAAAACAGTGCTCCATACAGAAGTAGAGCATAAATTATAATTATTTTTTTAAAATATGATTCCTTCGCTACATAAGAGTTCTCATGTTTCAAAAACGAGAGCCGAAAACCTCAATATAATTATTAAAATAAAAATTGAGTTAAAATATCAAGCCCTGTTTCATCCTCAAGCGAAAATTTAGGAATAACCAATCTTGAAATTCACGCATCTTTATAAGTATGTTCATTCGCAAAGTTAATTACTATGGAAACGGCTGGGGCAACCATTTTGGTAAGGAGCCTAAGAGATAATTTTTATCCACTATCAGTCACCTTCGAAAAGAGGTCAAGCTGAGGTACTGTGGAGCCATCCATTTCAAAGCGAATGATGGCATTCATGTGCGTACATCGTCTGGTCAGTCACAGTGAAAGATTATATATATATTTCTTAAGAATTAATGTACTCGTTCTTAATCCGACATTTTCATTACTTCAATTGTTATTTTTAGTGTATTCCATTATTTTTAGCAGACGGGGCATTTTTAAATAGTGTTTATTACGACTATATCCCTTGCGCCCTCAAAAAAAAATAATAAAGAAGAGAGCACATATCTTTTATTCATTTTCTCCAGTGCGCAGGCCGGTTGACGTAATGGAGAGTCTTAAAAAGCGGGTATTTATTCAAATTCGTGTATCCACTAAA